GTTTGTCCCCTGGCTTTGGGTAATTATGGCAGATATTAACTTGCCAGAACCCAAGAACTGTAGATTGTGTAATGAAGGAGTGGTTGATGAGGAATGGACAACCTAAGTGTTTGATCTTGTGTGTGACAAGGCGTAACATGCCTAGAAGGCATAACGACCAGTTTTAGTGGGAAAGGGGAGAAGACCCTACTGAATTAGCCAGAGTCATACTAAATCTTACAGAACTGCTAGAAAACAGGTCTGTAAGCAAAGTACAGAATTGATAACTCAGAACGGCAAACAAATCTTCCAAACTTTTCTCCCTTTGGAAGTGGAAGGAACAGCTGAACTCACCAGAATTAGCCATGGACAGTCCCAGTGTACTTTCTGTGTTGGTTTTGTCCTACTTTTCTTCAGTGCAAGCTCTCGTGGCTCCAGCCAATTAGCTGGTGAGAGGCCGATGACCCTGGATATTGCTGCAGATGAAAGCAGAAGTTGCTGGCTGTTGTCCTTACTGACAACTGAGGGAATGCCTGGTTAGCACAGCTATACCTGAGGGTTTGAACTGTTTTATGGCTAACTGGGTGTGTGCATAGACTCCTAGTGCGAGGGCTTCCCACAGGTGAAGAAATAATTTGCTGTTTTCATTGCACTACCTCTCAGTGAGCTCCCAGTGAGAAAGGAAAGCAAAGAGATAATGGTGTGGGGAACCAGCACCAGATTGGTGGTCGGCAAGGACCGCCCCATCAGCCATTAGGACAAGGATGGATATAACTCCCTCTTCACCTCTCATTTCAACTGTTATTATTTAAATAGGGCAATGTTATTGAAGTGGATTAGGCTTTGAGTGTTATCAGAAGAGCATAGCCTATCTCCTGTGACAAGATTCAAGGTGTCCAGCCTATCCTTGCACAACTTGTGCTGCCTGGGGAAAGTAAGGACTGATGTCTCGAAGTGAATGGACAAGTATTGGCTGCTGGGCTGGGGGTGGGAGTACAAGGAACTCTTAGGAGCGTGTGCTGAGGTATGCAGCTGTTGCGAGATGCGTTTAAAGCAGATGCCTCTTTGGTTAAGGTTTGTGGTTAAAGTTTTAGGTGTTGTCAGTGGATACTTTCTTCACTACTTCATTCAAGAGCAAGGCAGTGCCTGACCTTACCCAGACTCCTTTGTCATCGTCTCGTATCCCACTGTTCTCTCTCCCCTGCTTTCTGGCTGGTCCATCTCCTCTTTCTCCTCTTCCAGTTCTCCTGGTGCTTTCCCTGATCACGGCAGGTTCCTCATCTCTACAGCATGCCCCAGCCCTCTTAGCAGAGATGTCAGACCATATATCCTCTGCCTGATACTAACTAGCCTGTTGCACTGGGGTTCTTTTAATTCAAACCAGTGTGGTGTTTAAATAAGGTTGTGAATGTTGTGACACATCTGAATGCAGCTCAGTGGGGTTGCTCATACAGGCGTAACTCTGCTGCTTGCAGTCCTCCCCCTCTACCAATGTAAACTAAGACAAGCGGGCTACATTTTAAATTCCATGGCTAGGACTGGCTGTTGGACCTTTAACAGTGAGAAATAACCATATTGCTTTTAATGTTTTTATAGCCCCTCTCTCCTGGTGACCTATTGCTGCTGCCAAGCGGCACTGTGTGACTGAAGGGCTCGCCAAGCTTTCAGACAGCTGGATTTGGCAGAGACCTAGAGGAGGAAGCCGGCCTCAGCAGACAATAGCTGGGGAGCCAGCTCAGGTGGTGGCACGCAGCTGCTGCTCCACTCCCAACAATAAATCATAGTGGGGAGCGGGGACTTGACTTCAGAGCCGAGGTTCAAAAAAGACGTGGTGCAAAAACCAGCTGTTCCTGCGACACACCTGCCCGGGCACAGTGCAAGTACAGAGAGGTGGGTTAGAGAATGGGATATCTGCAGGCTCCTGATCCATTTCCTGATTGCTGTGTGGCAAACAAAATACCTGTTTGGCTATCTGCTGTGCCACAGTTAGGAGGACAGTAAGGACTGTGCAAGGGATGCTTTCCTCTAGGGTCAGGCCTGAAATAGGTTAAGGCGCTTATGGGAGTTGAGCTGGCAGCTAAGGTAGAGAAGATTATTCTCAACTGAATTTGCTCTCTGTGCTGTTGCAGAAGAGAAGGCTGCACATCTGCTTCTTCCTTAGCAGGATCAATCCGGCAGATTGCACAGATGCTCTTTTATTAAGAGCATTCACTTTTTCTGGCATCCCTTGGGTCCCAGAGGGCAACGTGGTAGCACAGTGCAGCGCTGGAGCAGTGCCCAGCAATCAGCGTCTCTTCTGCACCGCAGCTCGTGTGCTTGTTCCTGCCCCAGTGGTGTGCGTCTTGTCCTCGCCCCGGGGGCTGGTGGTGGGCTGGGAGCCCCGTGTGAAGTGGGCTGGAGGGTCCTTTTCAAGGTCTGTGCTCTCAGCAGGCAGCTGGGCACTCAGCGTGGAGCTCTTATGGCTCTAGGAGATGCTCACGGGTGTCACCCGAATCCAGAGAAGAGGTGAAAGATGAGAGCAGAGGTACCGTCTGAGGTTTCCCCTTCTCCTCTCCTGCTCTCAGAATAACTTGCCTGACAAGGCAGTAAATCTTTACAGGAGCCTGGCAGCGAGGCAAGTAGAACTGCAGAGCCCTGGACAGGAGCGTACGGGTTAACACACCCGCTCTGGGGCTGGAGTCACCGCAGGCTTGCAGGACAGCCCAGCATAGAGCTGCCTTCAGATGAAACAAAGTACCTTCTGCCTAGCTGGGGCGCAGATAAAAGCTCCCACGGCATTTCTTGTGCAGCCTGGAGGAGGCTGCCAGTGCTGAAGCTGAACTCTCTCTGCCAACAAACAAAACTGTCTTTAAACTCTGAGGCTGTGTGTGAGCTATTGTTGGGGGCATAATGGCTTCTCTGTTTCCGTGCACAGTCATTGCTCTGCAAACGCGCCACCGGTCTCTTTTAAAAGTAGTTGAGTGTAAATCAAGTTCTAGAACCTGGAAAGAGGTTTCATCCGTTTACCTTTCTTTGCCCTTGGTTGACATTTGTTTACAGAACAGCACATACAGTAGATTTACACCCTGGTTTGAGCTGCTTTACTTGGAGATGGACAGCTTGGAGACTCACAGATACAGGGCTTGGATTGCAAATGTGTTTCTCCTAATTTAAATCACAGGAGTGGGGGTGAGATTGAGGGGGCAGTGCTTCCTAATCTCCTCCCTCTGAGAAAAGTTTTGGTTTGGCTGGCCTGGCCCGTTTCCTCTAGTTAGCTCAGTGCTGGCACGCTCACTGCTCCCTAGTCCTGGGTGTGCTGCTGCTGCAAGGCGCCAAGTGCTTCTCTGACTGCTGGAGTTTGCTCTGCTTTGGGCTGCTGAACATCCACAGAGGGTGGGGTTGGTGGGTCCACTCTTCATCTGCAATGGCATGGATTGGCTTGTCTCTGAGGACGGCAGATGCTTCGGTAAGGTAAAGGGCATCTTGGCTCTTGTACCGTAGTCACGGTGAAAACCCAGAGCTGCGCTGCACAGGGGAAGTTGGTCCCTGAAGACAATAGGATGAATTTAAGTCTTTTTTGTTGTAACAATCCTGCAATGGGAAAGGAAATGGGTCAAAGAGTAGCTGTTCAAGCTGTTTTTCATGAGCTATCAGTCCCAGCAAGGTGTGACTCTCCATCCCCTCAGTAGCTCTAAACTCACCCTAGTGAGTACCTGGAACGTGCTTGCCGAGAGCTCCGTGCTGTCCTGTGCTCGCTTACAGGTGGACAGTAGCCCAGTGCACCCCAAGAGCAGCTGTGTGCAGGACTGGGAGACACGGAGACGTGAGCACGGGCCATCGCAGCAGCGGGAAGTGTCAGGCTCATCGGGAAGGTGCTCTGGCCAAGGGCCTGGAACAGGAGGGGGTGCTGTGCTCACACTGGGTGCGCCAAATCACTGGCCAAGGTTGCTTGCTAATGACTTAAGATGTGTTTTGAGCTGCTGCTTTTTTGGTGCAGGAGGTTACCTGCCTGCTATAAAACAGGCAGTTACCCAAGTGATAGTTGCTGGTTTGGGGCCTTTTCATTGCTGGTACTGTAACAGTTCAGAGCTGCTACCAAGGGCTTCCAGGAGTCCCTGCCGTGCTCTCTGACGCAGACCACTCTGCAAATGGAATGGTAGTAATGGGTGAAGGGGAAGCTGGTGAAAGGTTTGGAGCTGTTAGAATGGTTGTTCTGCACAGAGCTGGCACGGGCGTAGAGAAATGGTACCCGCAGTGTCCATAGGAAAGGTGTTGGTATGAATCTGAGTGAGGAAATATTTGGGAGACTCATTCTATGAGAGGTTCAGGGGAGGAGGAAGCTCTTCACTGCCCACAGCTCAGAACTCATGGAAACCTGCTAAAAAGCAAGGGCTGGAAAGATGGGAAGAAGTTGTATACACAGACTCACCTTGTGGCTATGAAGTAGGGAGGAAGAGATCAACACAGATGGCTGCTCACCTGGCAAAGCCAGCCTGCCTCCAGGGTGCGGGCAGGATGCAGTCCTTGACACTGTCACATTACAAAGGAGGCAAAGGGCCTGCCAGCAGGTGTTGCAGGGGGGAGTCTGGTAAAAAGTCTCAGATTGGTATTGCTGACTTGATTTGGGAACTAGATCAAATCCCGTCTGACCCTGGGCCCATGTCCTCCCAAGCAGATCAGTGGCTTACATGCCTGCTGAGTACCTAAACTCCTCAGAATATAAAGTCACAAAGTTCAGTTCATTGTCCTGTCGCCACTGGAAGGTCACAGCGGGACATCTTGAACATCCCCTCCCCTCTTGATTGTCCACTTCAAAACAAGACATCTCTCTGATGTAATTGCCAAGGCCAGGATTGGGCTCACACCTCCCCTGGCCACTCCTGCCATGTGCAGAGCTGTCAGCTGCGGGGTGCAGAGGGGGAAACAGTGGATATGAAAGAAGGTAGATGAAGAAACTGCTCTTGTGCCTGATCAGCTGCTCCCTACTGTCCGTGTGCCCCAGAACCAGCAGGGTTGATGATCCTGTCTCTTCTCCCAGGAAGATGAAGAAGCGCTGTGTGGTGGCCGGAGTCCTGGCTGCAGCCCTGCTGGGGCTCATCTTGTTCCTGGGACTCTTCTTCGGGCTGCGCCCTGCCTTAAGGGACACGCACACCTACAAGAGAGCGGCTGTGGCTGCAGATGCGGGGCCGTGCTCAGTAATTGGAAGGTACATGCTAATGGCGCTGTGACTCTTGTTAGCTCTGACAGCTCTTGCCCACAACAAAACTGTTGTTTCCCCAATGTTTGGGTGCAAGTCTGGCGGTTGCCCAGCACAGATAGTCTCTAATCTCCCTGTAGAAAGACGAGGCTGTAATAAAACCCAGGCTTTTACCATGCCTGACCAATGTTACTGCAGTTGCTCAAAGACAACACAGCAGGCAAAGGTTCTGTAGATGCATGAACAGTGGGAACAAGAGATGCTTTTCAAGCTCTTTAAAAAAAAAAGTACCGAGCTGTTCTCCAGTTCTAGATGCAAGTGCTGGAGACTTCAGGCTCCTCAGAGAGTTGTCATTTCTCATGTGGAATGAGTGTGTCTGGGATGTCTGTCCCAAAACATACTTTGACAAATCTCAGTGTTTTCAAGTAGTTTGGATGTGTCTCTAATGACAGCTGATCTGGTCTGCACCTACACCATTAGGCTGTATTCTCTAACGTGACAGAAGCTCAAAGCTTCCTATTGCTAAGGAACCTATAGACGGGGTGTGGACAAATGTCAGAGCAGCTGTGACGGTTTCTCTAATGCATGAGATGACTCCACTGCTCGCAGGTAGCTGAGACACTGTAACGTCACCATACTTCTCTTCTGCTGCACAGGGATATCCTTCAGCAAGGTGGATCAGCAGTCGATGCTGCGATTGCAGCTCTGCTTTGTGTAGGACTCATGAATGCTCACAGCATGGGCATTGGAGGGGGCCTCTTCTTTACCATCTACAGCAGCACAGGTAAGGGACAGGGCCATACACATCTGGAACAGTTTGAGAACTCTTTATTGAAAGCAGGTGACTTATCCTACCTGAATGAAGGTAAAAGACCGACTCTCACAGCTGCTGGAGGAACATGCTGTCCTAAAAATAATTGCCAAGAAACTGGCTCACGTTGATCAGACTTCTTCAGCAGAGACCATGCCTGTGTGTTGAGTCCAGCACTAAACATCATCTTCCTTGCTCTGTCGTTAAAGGAAAAGTGGAAATCATTAATGCAAGAGAGGTGGCTCCAAAAAGAGCATCGGAGGGCATGTTTGGGAACAACACAGAGCTCTCTATGAAAGGTACGGCAAAGGCTGTTTCACTGCTTTGAGGGGACCACATACCTCCAACATTAGCTGCTACTGACATGTCTGAATTAAGAACATTTCTTATGGTTAGGTTCTTGCATATCTACAGGATTTCTCACCTAGGTTTTCCCAGAAACATCCTCTACTTTAGACAATCTGCAAACTCTCTCCTGACAAGAAGGCTAAAAATAATGTCCTTCAAACTAGTCGATCACTTCAGCACTTTCTCCTTTTCACTTCATGAAAATGCAGGTGAATCCAAAGCACTGAATATGACCTGTTCCATATCTGCCATCTTTCCCTTCCACCTCTTTGAATAAGTCTTTGTGGATCAACTTAGTTCTTGTCAGTTCACGTGTCCTCCCTAAATACCTTTTGTGGTGGCTTCAACTAATGGTTCAGGGGCTCCAGAGAAGAAGTAGTTTCCTTTTGGGGAAGTATTTTCTAATCAAAAATAGAAAGAAATCCTAACTAGTTCTCTTCATGGCAGAAATGTCAGATAGAATAATTCCGTTAGCATTGTATGCACAGGCTGAGCTGGTCATAGTATACACAAACCCTGCCTAGAAACAGGGCCAACAGAGAAGCCTGCTCTGCCTCGTGCTCAATTAATCACTTTCTTTTCTTGCTATGGAAGACTAATACATTCCTTATCTGCTCCAGGAGGACTGTCCATCGCTGTCCCAGGAGAAATCCGGGGGTATGAACTGGCTCACAAACGTCATGGCAAACTGGCATGGAAAGACCTGTTTCTGCCCAGCATCAAGATGGCTAGAGAAGGATTTCCTATTGGGAAAGGCCTTGCAGCAGCCATCAAAGCAAGAGAGGAGTCAATTGAAAGCAATCCCTCACTGTGGTAGGTAGAGCAGTTGCTGTTCTGTGCAGAGAAATCGGGGTAACTGCATCCTAGCTGAAAAGTCTGTGTTTGTGTAATGTAGCATCTGTGAGGAGTGTGCCTCCCCTCCAGTGACTGCACTCACTGTACCTGCTGATGTTAATCCAGCTACCTGATGGTGCTAAGTCATGTGGCAAATTTTAGGAATGTTCAGTCCTGACCTTTAAAGGGAGATAAATTCTGCTCTTAAAAGTCCATTTGTCTGAGCGAAGGTGGAATTAGAGTACACGCTGGGATAAAACTATCTGATGGCAATCTATTTTCTGAATCCCCAGCTTTTCATCATGCTGTAAATGAACTCAGCTAATCTTACCTGCATTTGGAGCAATTGCAGAGTCTCCTTGAACATCTCTGCTGTCAGGCAGTAGGAATTTGGGTCATCTCATACTCTGCAGTCAGCCTTCCTCAAGCAGTGCCTCTGACCATCCACTTCTGGCAATGGCTATGAACATGAAGGGTTTTAAATGCTCCTCTGCTTCCTCTTACAGTCAAACCCTTGGTGTCTATGTCCAGCCCTTCTGGAGATCATGCTTAATCCTCTCTTTTTCCTTGAAACCTCTGCCAGCTGCAGGTTGGTTTCCAGTCCAATTGGGATGTACAGAAGGGGCCTATCTCCTGTACTTCCATCTGGCAGGTCCAATGCAGCACGTTCGTGATCTATTATGAGGGAGCTAGAGAGGAAACTGTCTACCTCCAAGTGCTCTGACAAACAGGGATCAAAACGCATTCTCCTGGACTCGCTGGAAGCTTCGAGCCTCATAGTTGCATAGTCTGAGCTCTGAACTGAACTGCCTGTGTTCACGGACTGTGGCCCCTCCTGGGCACCTTGAGGCAGTTGTTGGCCCCTTGGGCAGGCAGGGAGGGTGGCCAGCCCTGGTGAAAAAGATTGACACTTCCTCCTGCCGCCTTCACTGGGCAAATTCTGAGCAATGTGGAATCCCAGGTCAGAAACCACTGTTCACTTTTATCTCCCAGTGCAAGATCCCAGGATCCCTGGGGCGTGGCTCAGGCAGTTTCTCTTCTCCCCAAGAAGCCTCTAGCATGAACACTCAAATACTGTGTCAGCTAGTAGAGGTACACATAGTTTTGAACTTCTCTCAGATCTGATCTTCTCAATCTCCTTTCTCTGTTAGCGAAGTGTTCTGCAAAGGAGGGAAAATTCTGCATGAGGGGGATATCATGAAGATGCCTAAACTAGCCAACACATACGAGACTATAGCCAGTGAAGGAGCAGATGCCTTTTACACAGGAAGCCTGGCAAAACAGATCATCGATGACATCCGCAGTGTAGGTGAGAAACAGGACATCTGTCCAAAACAGCATGAGTGACCTGACTACTGCAGCTCAGCGTCCAGGGAGGAGCTGGTGACCTGCAGAAGCCTTGGAAGTGGGTCAAGCCAACTGCCTGAGATCTGTGGCAACAGGACACCCCAGGGAAGCCATTAGTGCTTCAGTGGGTGCATTAAAACTCAGCCAGAAATGGAGAGTATATACTGTGCATTTCTGTACCATATAGTCTAGCAAATCTTTGGGTTTCTGGATATAGCTTAATAGATATACGCTGTTTACACAGCCTGAATCCAACAAGTTTCTACCTAAAATGTTATATATGTGGTCCTGTAAACTCTGAGCTTGTTTGATCTCTCGATGCCACTAGATGGTGGTGTCTTACTAGCTAGCATTGGCTTGCTTCAGCCAACCTCATGTAAGTCATTTACTGGCTTTCTTTGTGATGATTAATTACTGTTTTCCCCCTTCTGGTAAGAAAGGCAATGGAACATGCTAATTATTCTGCTTGTGGGGTAGCGCAGAGTACCTGCACCCAAAAGCTGCATCCTCCTCCTGTAAACAGGACTTTTAATGGTGTTTTGTTACCTGACAGTGCTGGTGTCCTTTGTAAAAGAAGATGGATCACCAGATTTTTGGCTGCTCTAGATCAGCCCAGTAGGTTATCTGAGCCTCAGCTGGATCTATCAAGGAAATAATTCATCTCCTATGCACCCATCTTTGCTTTCTTTACCTTGCAACTTTTGGGATTTGTCTGTGTTCCTTCCTGGCCTTGCTGTGATGCATGATACCTCCTCTTCCCACCAAAGATCACATAAACCCACATCTGTAGTTTCCTTCTCATTTCCAGGAGGCATTGTCACATTGGATGACCTGCAGGACTACAGCGCAACAGTGATTGAAGACCCCATAGAGGTCATGCTTGGGGAGTTTACCCTTTACACACCCAGTGCCCCCCTAAGCGGCCCGGTGCTAGCCCTCATTCTCAACATCCTGAAAGGTGAGCGTGCCACTGAGCAGTGCCTTACAGGCAGCAGGAGCTAGGAGAGCTCCAAAGGCAATGCCTTGCTTGTTTTGGGAGCTGGGCCTCCCTCGATAGCCCTCCAGCGGGTGAGAAGGCTGAGGCCCCAGGAGGGATCAGAGATGCAGAAACATTCTGCTGTAAGCTCAGGGATGTCACCTTCCTACTTGAAATACAGATACAAGAGGAAAAACATGCTCCTGACTGGGGCACTTCCCTGATATCTGCATGGGTGGAAACTAACTTGTACTTGAGGCTTCTTTGGAAAGCAAAAGTACAAATCCTGCTGGTGACTCCCACAGTGCTCAAAACTACCAGAGCTGCTGTGCTCTCCATGTGGAGATCAGGACAGTCCAGTGACTGCGTGTCTGTAGATAGTGGGCTTCAAGATTATACCATTTGACACGGGTTTGTTAGCAGTCCATTGAGCGTGTATTTTCCTTTATGTTCACAATCATTTGTCTTCTGTTGCCAGGATATAATTTCTCTGCTGACAGTATCAAAACCGTGGAGGAGAAAGGTCTGACTTACCACCGCATTGTGGAGGCCTTTCGCTTTGCCTACGCCAAGAGGACTTTACTGGGAGATCCAAAATTTGTCAACATTACAGAGGTACCTGGCAAAAGCCTTTTCTTTCTGCAACACCAAGGTTGACTGGAACATGGCTTAAAGTTTTTGGGTGACTAAACTTTGTCAGAGATGCTCTGTGCCACCTGCTATTGACAGGCAGTAAAATGTCTCTGAATCAGAATGTGAAGTCCTGTGTGACTTGTGGCTGAGCTGTGAGGGATATAAATGGAGGACACCTTCCTGCTGCAAGGAAAAACAAAAGCCTCAATTCACTGGGAGCATTTGAGTATATTTAGGGCTAACCCTCCCTGTTTTCATAGTGTTTGAAGCCTTATTCACTAAATTACATTCCCAGCACCCTTGTGGCTCTCTAGCCACAGTCCTGCCTGTAGTAAATGGACCAATAGATGGGGAAGGGGTGAGGCAGGAACCCCACTCTTCCTAACTTTGCGCTTTACTTCTGTGACTCTGCAAAAGCAGCAGAATCTGAGCCCAGCCCAGCTCGATGGACACAAATGACTTAAAGAGCAATGATCAGAGCTTGCCTTGGCCTGGTCCTCTCAGCCGATCCCTTTCCTCTCATCTCTGAAGCAAGTGTAACACTGCTTTGCCTACACCTTATGGCAGTGTTGAGGACAGCTTTCCATGGTCTACAATAAGGGATGCTGATTAATTTCTTACTCAAAGGGGTGCATTGTAACAGCTGCTTCTGTGACTGCTTAAAATGCTGCTTGGTAAAGATGGTCCATCTTCCAAGAAGGAGGAAAGCCCCTACTGGAAAACTATAGCCTGACTGCTGGGATTTGCCTGGATATCAGCCTCATAACTACATAACTGTCTCTTAAACTTAATCTGCTGAGTAACTGCATTGGATTTCTCTGACAGGCCATCAGAAACATGACATCCGAGTTCTTCGCGGATGGTCTCCGAAGGAAAATCACAGACAACACCTCCCATCCAGTTGACTACTATGAACCAGTATATTACACTGGAGATAATGCTGGTACATCCCACCTCTCCATTGTGGCTGATGATGGCAGTGCTGTGTCCGCCACCAGCACCATCAACCAATAGTATGAGCTCAGACGTTACTTCCATGTAGGCCTTTGCCATCTTCCTAGCAGTGGTTCTGTGGTTGGTATAAAACATCACTGAACTGTCGTATCTCTGGCGGGGTAGTGATGAGTAGCACTGTTGACGGGCTCTTCTGCTGAGCTTGCAGGTCAGGTCTTAACCCTGAGGCTGTGCGGTTGGGTCAGAGGACAAGACGTGTCCTCTCTCATGTTGAGTTCATCCGCCAAGAAAATTTGACTGCATCTGGATGTTCTCAGAAGCAGTGGTATCGCTGCTGGCTCTGACTTCCCAGGCTTTTGGAAGGAATTTGAGCTAATATAGCCGGTCTGGAAGTGCAGTGCTTGGCTTCAAGTGCTGTCAGGAAGAGCTGTGTTCCCCATGTATGGTATGAAGCTGGGGGTGAAGGTTCTTTTTGTCCATAGAAATGTCTCCAGCTTGACACATCTAAGAAAAACCCCAGCACTCCCAAATGTGCCGGTGTTTGAGCTACGCTGCCTGTGAATGGAGTGCAGTACTGCCTGGCTGGAAGGGCAGTTAGCTGTATTTAGCTGCTGAGCTGTTTTTCCCCTTGGGGTCCTTGCAGGGGAGTTATACAGCAGGGCTCTGGGCTGCCTTTCCTCTTTGTGTAGCTACCTGCTCATGGTGTAAACTGCTTCCTTCCCCCAAGGGGTGATAGAATGTCCTTTGCAACGGGAGGGAGCGGAGAGTTACTCAAATCAAATCCCAGGTTTCACACTGCACTAATTCACCTGAAGCTTCTCCTGGATTTGCTCTGATTTTCATATGTCTGCACCATTTTTTTTTTCTAGCTTTGGCTCTCACGTACGATCCAATGTGAGTGGAATCATATTTAATGATGAGATGGATGACTTCAGCTCACCTTACATAATCAACGGGTTTGGGATCCCTCCTTCTCCAGCAAATTTCATAGCACCAGGTAGCTGTAAGCTGCCTTCCTGACTCAGTCTTTGGGTTGTAACTTGCATACTAGTGCTGTGGTGTCTGCAAGGTGGCTGCACCATGTCTGTGACCAGGCATAGACCTGGGGGCTTTCTGCAGAGGACAGGGATGAAAGCAAGTCACCTGGCATCCCTGCCAAAAGCATGCAACCAGCCTCCCCTGGTGCACCCTGAAGGAAGACAGGCTGTCCAAAGAAAAACTCTTGTGTATGCCTCCTTCCAACAACCAGAAATCATTTCCCAGGGAGCTCAGTACATGTAAAATGAAATTACTTAGGGCTGCAAAAGATTTATTTGAACTGATTTAAGAGGGAAGGCAGCAGCAGCAGGAGCTGACTCCAAAGAGTTAGATGGCACTGTCCAGCCTTCTCCCTGCGCTGCCTTGGGAGCTGTAGGGCAGCTTTGGATAGATCCAGTTCACATACCTAACCCCTGCAACCTGTCTGCTCCATGTTTCCTGCAGACCCATCTCATTGCTGCTAAAGCAGGCTGGGATTCTGCTGCCCTCCTGTACCCCGCACCTTGGAGAGGGACAGGGAAGAGAAAGAACAGGAAGGGAAGTCCCATGGTGTACTGGAGGCAGCCGCATCACAGACAACCCCAGCTGGGACAGGACTGTGGAGGAAGGCACCTTCAGCCTCTGCATGAAGGGCCAGGGTTAAGGTTTGCCTTGCAGGAGCAAGGAGGAGGATGGGTACAGGGGACAGTGGGATCCCCAAGGGCTGAACAAGACATGTGAGCTGAGTCAGGAAGGTGGATACTGAGGCTTTGAGTTTGACATGGAGCAGGAGCTGTCAGTTTGTAAGCTGCCGGTGGAAATCTGAGCCTCTGTTGCATCTGTGTCCCCAACAGGTAAACAGCCGATGTCTTCCATGTGCCCCTCCATCTTGGTGGATAAAATGAAAAAGGTCAGGATGGTGGTTGGTGCTTCCGGAGGAACAAAAATAACTACAGCAACAGCACTGGTATGTGATGAGATGGGCAAACTGGGGACAAGGCTGAGGCAAAACAAGGTGGGGGAGAGGCAGCATTTGGGATAAGGGGCTAAAGTCTCCACCTGTGAAACGACCGTGGCTGTGGGTCCCTGCTGTGGGCTGGCCTTCTGAGGGCCAGACCTCCAACACCAACTCCTGCCAGAGCTACAAAGGGTCTGCTATTAAATTACTACAGGTGACTCCAGGTCTTTTCCTTTGGCAGGTTGTTCTTACCACTTGCAGAAGATTTGTGACTTCAGTTTAGCTTTGACTTCTGTTCTCTGGATCTTCATGAACTAGTGTCCTTATCTAGTTTAGAGCCATTCCCATCCAACATCCTAAACTTTGGATGAAAGTCACAGAGCGAAGCTAAATAAGAACTTAGGCCAGGCATGGTGTCAGGCCATCGGACAGGTAGGCTTTCTGTGAGCTGCTGCGGCAGCCACTCCGATGCCTGGCGAGCCCAAAGTCCTTGCAGGAGCAAGATGTCTCCTGTGCAGCACACACCGCAGTTCAGAGCGCCAGGCTGGCTCGCTCTTTCCGGCTGAGGTAGAGGACAAGTCTCCATAAAAACCGCTACAGCAGCTTTCTAAGCCCTTGATCCTGAGGCTATTTTCACTTGCCAGCAGCTCCAAGCTGCAATTTAAGCATGTAGAGGTGAGCTAGGTTTATGGAAACCGGTTGCACAGTAGCAGGAAGCTGTGGCTGTGTGTTTGCTGAGGTGACTGCTGGGTGTCTAAGCCAGCCCTAGCTTAATCATAGCAGCACAAAGCTGCTACAGTAGCTTGAGGATCTGATCCTTTTATTATGTTAATTTTAGTAACTCATGGTCTCTTTGTGTGGGAATCCTCCTAAGCATACACAAGCTGACTTGCTGCAGCGTACCTGTGCTTTGCTTAGCCAAGAGAGGAACTGCTGAAAGCAGCAGGAACCAGAAATTTTGCCTTTTATGTGCTCTAGAGAACATCCTTCAGACATCTCTGCCTACGTTGCTCCAAAGGTCAGGCCTCTTTGAAGGCAAGTAACTAACATTAAGGCTTTTTGCTTCTCCCAGGCAATCATCAATTCCATCTGGTTTGGTTATGATGTGAAGAAAGCAGTGGAAGAGCCTAGAATTCATGATCAGCTGTTCCCCAATATCACGGAGCTTGAGGAGGAAATAGAGCAGGTTTGTCTAGCTAGAGCCTGGGGTGTGCATGAGCTTCTTGTGTGGTGCTGGGTTCCTAGTGTTGGGAAGGCGTGCGCTTGTGGAAAATCGTGAAGCTTTGCCAAATGTTCCTAGGTGAGCAGCATTAAAGCTGGCACAGGTCAGGTGCTGGGTCACAATAACCTGCTCACGGTGTACCTTTAGTCTCAGTCCCATGTTTTGAAGCCTAGCGCATTCAAGCGTGACCTACATCTGAAACTGAGGGTATGTATCTTCTTGCAATGTAGTTTGGCTCAAAGGACTTGCAAAATAACAAACCCCACATCAGGGCCAGAACCATTTGGCAGTCTAAATCCAGTGACCCTCAGGGAACTCTTGTCCTATTGTGCAACCTCCCGATGGATCCTGAAGCACTGGCACAGAGCTAGCGAGGGAGCGTGCACAGAGGGACCCAAGAACAAACTTGAAAATATTTTCACAGTAAAGGTCTCTGTGCAGCACTGTCAGTCTAGAGCTGATGGCAAGAGCTGCCTCGCTCCACATACCACTTGCCTGAGCTGGCAGCTTCATTCACCCTGAGGAATTACACATCCCCGAGGCCTGAGACAGATGCAGTCTTTGTAACTATCTCATCCCATGTCTCTGTATTAGGGAGGCAGTTTTCTTCATCAAACTCTGCAGAAGATCCTCCTTTAATAAGCTTCTTATTAAGGTAGCAGCTGAGATATCTGCAAGCGCTGGGGAGGATGCCCTGCTCTCTACAGGTCCTGCATTTTCCCCCATTCCCAAACAGGATCCATCAGTTCTGGCTGTTGGTCTGTGAATATTTGAGGCAGAACACCCTGTGACCAGAATAGTCTTGGTAACCCACACTGAACACCAAAAATGCCACATCTCAATTCCATCTCTTCAAAAGCAAGGCATCCCAGAGAGCAAAGAGGAAGAGGAGGAACAGCATTTAGCTGCGCCTAGTGCAGGCACTGAGCGCTCAGGTAGCCACGGAGGATGCAGGTCGCCAACTACGGCATGTGTGCAGTTTGTCTCCTGTTGTCCTCATTCACTTCTGCATTCCAGGGTGTAGAAGAACAACTAAAGAGAAGAAGGCACGACACCACGCGGGTGAGCGGCGGTGCGGTTGTGCAGGCCATTCTCAGAACAGACAAAGGATGGGCTGCAGCCTCCGATTCCCGGAAAGGTGGCTTCCCTGCAGGCTACTGACACGGCTCAGTTCCTCTTTTCAGTTTTCTAGTGACACTGAGGTGCGTTTGGGGGGAAGATCCTTTAGGTCTGCAACTCAGGGACTTCTCACAGGAAAGAGAACAAATTCACCTGTGGTTCTATGGACAGAGCTGGGACAGTGCTCTACAGCCATGACCAAGTGCCTCATGCCATAGCAGCCTGCTAAGGCAGGCGTGTCTACCCGGACGTGCAGTACTTACTTGAAGAGTCTGTTCTGCTTTGAGTTTGTTCCCTGCCTCCTCTCCATCCCATGAAGACAGATTGGGTACCCAGAGTTTCTGAAGAAGGTCCAGCTCACTCAAGCTGCAGGGAGTGTTTCCCTTGCACAGTGTCCCTTACCAGGAATGTCCCTGTCACTGCTAGAGAAGAGATTTGTTTCCTGTTGAGCAGATGGGAGCTCCAGGGCTCTGGGGACTGGGTTTGCTAAGTTACAAACTGATAGATCTGTGCCATAACAGGGAGCCCAGCTCTGGACTGGGATAAGCCTTCACAAACTTACCACTCTTTCTTTTAACAAACAAAGTTTCTGCTTTTCACTTCAGTTGATTATTGGAGATGAGTGGGTAAATGGGGAAGTGGCTTCAAACTTTTTTATGTTTCTGTTGAGAAGGTCTAAAGGGAAGATGCTACCTGTAAAACTCTGAGCACAACTAAAATAAATAAATATGGAGTCACACTTTTTTTCTTGCTTGCACAGTTGCTACTGTGAAAAGGGATGGTGAGAGTCTGCATGAAAGCAGCTCTCCTGAGATTTTTCTCTTTTATTCACCCCTTTGATGAAGCTATGAGTAAAAACAAATAGTTTAAATATCCAAAACAAGCTTGTTTTTCACCAGTTTGCTTTTCACCACATCGTACTGCAGGCCTGAAATACCAGAGTCTGAGGAAATGAAACCTTTAGGAAAAGGGCATGCTGCAGGGACTCTTTTTTTGAAGGTAAGTCACCATTAATCAGACAATTAATGACCTCTCGGAAATCCATGTCTGATACGCAACAGCTGAGGGTATCTGTACGGATGCATGAGGGGGTTTTGGTGTCCACCTGCCAGCATGGGCTAGTACATCATGTCAGATAAACTTAGCCTAAGATCAAAACCGAAATGTTCCAGGATGTTGTCAAGCTCTAGGGATGGTTATAAAATCTTTGAAACACAAGTACAAGTAACTGAACTCATCTATTTGTGTTATTGAAACTTTGTGTCAGTTGGTAAAAACCTTAAAATGCAGAATCCATTGAAGAGAAAATGAAGGGCTGAAATTTTAGGCATCAGGCACCCTCTCTTTGCCAGTAGTTTTGGGAATTGAGGAGAGTCTAGTTTCAAGGAATAAAGTGACAGCTAGATCATGCTTAGATCAGAGTCACGACTTTGATGTATATTTGCTTGTGTGGCTCCCACTAAATGAGGGGCTTTTACCAAAACTTGCCTGGGATGCACTCTGTGCTCCTTTTCCCTGCTGTTGCTGCTGGGGATATGTGAGGCGCAGCTCGGAGTCATTGTGTTGCTTTTAAGAATTAGACTGGTTTGGGGCCAAACCTGTATCTGTTTATTGCTGAACTGAGACTTTGACTTTTCTGCTTCTTGTAATTCCGTGACAGATGCCACTCAGTGGCAGGCTGCTGTTTGAATCCAGTTTGCAGGGCATTTTAGGAAGCTTTGATATAAGTTTGTGTATGGAACAGCATCAGCTGCTATTTGTTGGAAGTATTTGGCCCTTTGGACTTAGGACTAACCGAGCTCTTTCTTGGCCAAGTGTGATCAGAGAAATAAACAAAATTGTTGCACAGCAAAGTAAGTTTATTGAAACCTTACAGTCATTATAGCCTGAGCTACAACAGAAAATCTTGTGCTCTGAAACTGGAGGGTAACTGTTTTCTGGGAAATGACTGTTGGACAGACATGCTTTCTGAAACAAGTTTGAGTAACTGCTGTTGGGCTGCTTCTAACAGTTTGTGGCACAGCAGTCTTACTTTCGTTCCTGAATTTCCTCTAGCTGGTCAGAAAACTCCCCTATTATTTATAACCTATGTTACAAAACTTCCCCTATGGAAAGCTCAGATTTTGCCATGGCTAAAAGCACTTCTGTTGAAAACTGTTCTTACAATGCATTTGAATTCTTGGCTCGCTCCTGAAATGGATTTTTTTGTTTGTTTGTTGTAGCAGTATCACCACAAAGGACTGATTTGTTAAAACTGAACCAAGCTGAGGCTTGCACTTACTTGGTACATTTAAAAAAAAAAAAAAAAAAAAACAACTTTGGGCATTTCTGCATGTTGTGATTATCTACATCTGATTTGCACATACTTGTACACAGGGCACGCACTTCTGCCACCTCTTTGGTACCACTGGTCACGCTGCATTGAGGCTGTCTGCGTATCCATAGGCAAATGTCAGGCGATGGTTCATACTGTAAAACCTGACTGTACACCACAGGCCATTCGGCTTGTCTGAATGTTTCAGCTACAAGAAAAGGCTTCTTCCCGCTGGTGTCCCACCCCGTTGAGTGCAACCACCTGTCCCCTCTGCTTCCGAGCAGAGACACAATGGCTTGGTGTGAGCTGCCGGCCACAGGACAGGTGCGTTCAACTCTTCCCCCTGTTCTCCAGTCTAATATTACCACAACTTTCTTTTGGCAACTGTCCAGCCTCTGGAAGGCCTCCAAGGAAGTGCCAAAACCAAGCTGTGAGGGACAAGTGGCACATGCAGGCTCCTGCACAGCTCTTCAATTTCTCCAGCAGCATATTGAGGCTCCAGAATGAACAGCTGTTACTGCTGGAAAAACCTGTGTCAAAGTCCTCTCAAACAACTGCTTGTGTGTTAGGGTAGGCAATAGTTTCAGAAGAGAAATTCCCAAACAGGTTTAAAAACACTTTATTAAAAATATAATTTAAAGACGTCACTACAAAACAGAGCAGCCTCTGTACAGTGGTGCTGTAAAAGTCTGTGTAAATTGACTAAGTACAAAAATAATGTTCTCCTGTTGGCATGAGCATGAGGGGGAAGAAACCAACCTGGGAGGCTCTTGACCCAAGTAAATTTCAGCAGCAGGGAGGAGGGGGTGGGGCAAGAGCAGAGGTGCTAAGGGAGGTACAATCCCTCCGCTTCACCAGAGGTTTTGCCAGGGACGGTACAGGACGGTAAGTCTCTGCCACAGTGAGAGATCTGCACTGGTGTTCCTTTCTGACTTGCAAATTAAAGCTGTGAGGGGTTTTAAAACTGCTTAACTGGCTCAGTTTCAGTGTTAGGAGCAAAGCAGTTAAACTGCAGTGAGGATGGGACTACAGATAATACTCCTGTGTCGTTGTGGGGGGAGTAGCTGTGATACTACAGCCCTGGCCAGGTGACAGGCTGCATCACTGACGTGTGCTCTGCCCTAAGGTGTGGCAGGAGTGAAGGTAAGTGGAGGCTCAGTCACTTGGTGACTTGGTTTCTCCGCTAGCGAAACACGATGGAGTGTGGCCCGGGGCTCTGCTGAAGGCTGCCCTGGAGCCTAATAAGGAAGCAAGAACTGCTCCCCCTGTCTCCAGCCAGTGCCATTCTTAGTTGCTTTTTGTACACTCTCAGCACAGCTGGGCTGGCTACAAATAACCATAGATCTGGCTAAAGCCAGTGTCCGGTCTATTAGTCCTGTCTGGTCCTGAAATGTGAGCAGCAGATGGTGTCTGGTGCCCCTAAGTGCTTCCCCTGTCACAACGCTGCAGTTGAGGTGTTATTTCTGAGACTAGAACCAGTCCACCCAGGAACTGGCAGCTGAGGTAAGGGTTAATGAAAGGGGAAAACTTCAGCAAATCATGCAGATTGAATATGGCTGCGAGAAAACCCAGTGTAACCTCTCCCCCAGCCTTCAGGCCTGTTC